GGGAGTTTGAGACCAGCCCGAGCAAAAGCAAGACCCCGTCTATACTAAAAACAGAAAAATCAGCCGGGCACCGTGGCGCGTGCCTGTAGTCCCAGCTACTCGGGAGGCTGAGGCTTGGGCCCAGGAGTTAGAAGTCGCAGTGAGCTATGACACCACCACTGCATTCTACCCGGGGTGACAGAGCAAAAAAAGATACCACAGGGTATTCACAGAAGAACTAAAGGACATTTTAAATAAGTGAGAGCTAAAATGCTCCCATCCAAAGATCACGTATCCCTGAAAAATGTCCCGGTGTGAACCTAGAGAGCTAGGAGGGACCCTGCATGTCATGTCGCTGTAGCAGACAATGCTGGTTGCTTCCCCCCATCCTCCCCCTTGCTAACAGTACTTCTTGCCCTTTTTCCTGGCTAACAGCATTCCAAGTTTGTTCAGGTGTCCACATCTCTCGCCTGTAGCTTAGGGGACATAACATCATCTTCACCTCTGGGGTAAATTCTGGTTGTTTAAACCAATCAACATAATCCCATGACTGCTTGTTAGGTGGACACGTGACACGCTTCCTTTTGAATAGCTGGCCAATGATATCAAAAGGAAGCATGTTGGCAGGAGGACTGTATCCTAGGAAAAGTTTCCTTGCTCCTGCAGTTGACTCCAGAAGAGATACTTCTCTGCCATTCTCTGGACAATGCTGGGTCTGGAAGTGATGGCTGGAGTGTTGGCAGCTCCCTGTGTCCGTATGGCACACAGAACCATCTTACCACTGGGATTCTTATTATGGCAAGATATATTTCCTTATTGTTTAGGCTGATTTTAGTCAATTTTCTTACTTGGCTGAAGGCATCCCGTCTAATACATTAGTATTCCTTTTCATTTTATAGATAAGAATGATGCATCCCAGAGAGATTAAATGTTGCTACCAGACATGTAGCTAGTTTTCAGCAAAGCCAATACAAAAGCACCCACATTAAAAAAAAAAAAAAACAAAGAAGAAAAATTAAAACTACCTTTCTCTTCCTCATTTTCTCTACTTAATTCCGTAAAAATAGGGGCCTCCTAAAAAAAAAAGGTTGAAAGTGTTGATTTACAGTTCATGTACTATCAATAATTAATAGGCCTAAATTACAACATACTACCTGTGCTGCAAGGCAACTCTAAGACACAACTCTAAATGATTAAGACTTTAATGAAGAAATCAGATGCTTTACAAATATTCTCCACTTGATAATTATTCTAAAGGACAAAAAAGTAGCTTTTCTGTACCAAAGTATAGTTTACCTACATTTTTATTTCTATGACAACTTAAAACAGGAAACAACAAAATGTAAGGCAATAAACTTTAGGAATCTTACCTGGAGCATTACTTTAAAAAGCAAGATCTTTCCATACTATGGTGTAATTTAGTGTAATGATTAAAGAGCCTTAGACTCAACTCAAACAAAACTGCATATATGAAACCCACCTCTGTATAGTCTGTGAGCTTTGTAATCTGGCAGCCTCAGCATCTCCCTTAAGCCTCAGTTATTCTATCTTTAAATAGGGATAGGGTAGAACAGACTACCTTACTCCTATTCCTTAGCCCTACCTTAGGAGCAGACTAAACGAATCAATAATCGATGGTGATACCAGAACAGTGTTACTTCTGGGGAACAGGGGTATTAGTGAGGGAAGCTTCTGGCATGCTGGAAATGGTCTGTATCTTTCACTCGCTCTCTTTCCACATATGCGCATCTGTAAAAGTTCATCGACCTGTGCACCTAAGATTAATGCACTTCGTACACTTTAATCAATGTACGACAGAGCTTGAGAGAAAGTTTTTAAAAATACTAAATGGCTAGTAGTTTCACGCACACCAGGCTGTAGTTTCCGCTCACACACTACTGCTAGGGTGCAAGCTGCGGCGGGCAGTTTTCTGTATCTTTGGTCCCCCGTGTATTCCCAGTGCCTGGAAAAGTCCTGGCACATGGGAGGCCCCGCTACAGTTTTTGTATCTCTCCTTTAAATTACTATATTGATCTCTGCTACCTTAAATCCTTTATGGAAGAAGGGGGGACATTTAGGAAAATGGTTGACCTCTGTGGCTCCCTTCCCATTAACTACGACTGCATTTCCCCCCACTAATTTCGCCGTGCCAAATTGAGTTTTATGTTAAATGTGGAGGGAGGAACTCAGGATAGAAAACTGTACATCTTGTATATAATTTTATAAAACACAGAGACTGGAAAAGAATAGACCAAAATATTAATGGGGGTTATTGTCAGGCTGGGGGACAATGGAAAATTTTAAAAATTATATTTTTCAGGTTTTATACAATAAGCACAGATTTCTTTTGTAATTGGAAAAGAAAATGCTTTAGCAATGACAGAATCATTGGAGAAAATAAGATTACTGATTTCCAAATAGGAAAGAAGGCACACAAAAACCCCAAATTCTAAAATAAAACAAAGAGCAGTCCAACTAAAAATAAACAAACTATGGTACATTTTGAAATTTCTGTCTTTGTGTAAACAAACTTACAGTTTCAATGACTATAGTAGCTGAAAAAGTCTTCTCATTGATGGACTCTAAGGTACCTTCATTTCCTCTGTAACCTCCATTTAAAACTAGAATTCTTTTTCCTACAATTGGAAAGAATATAAACCTTAGTGCAAAGAAATGTCTACATTTTTCTTCTACCTTATTACAGCAAAATGCATTCCACTGAATGAAAATAATGAAAAATGAAACCTTTTTCTTATTAATAGAAGTTCTTAATCATTTAAGAAGAGTATTTTAAAGTATAGTTTGTAGACTTTCATTATTCTAACATTTTAAGACTCCTCATCTTTTTCACTTATTTGTTAAAGGGATACGTTTTAATTTTAGATTGCAAGTATAAGTTACTTGGGGAAAATGTTCCGAGTACAGAAGAAATCAGAGAAAACTGAGCTTAATTTGTCTCTTTTTAAAATTCATAAGATGGCTTGACAATTTTATAAAAATTTAAACTTACGCCTACCAGATGACTGAGCCCATTCTAAGTATTTACTGCAAGAGAAAAGTAATCATATATCCACACAAAGACTTGAATATGAATGTTCACAGCAGTTTTTTTAACAGCCGAAAACTGCAAACAACTCAAATAACCATCAAGAGGTGACTGGACAAACAAACTCTGGTACAGTTGTCCCCTCTTATCCGCAGTTTTGGTTACCTTTGGTCAACCATGGTCTAAAAATAGGTGAATACAGTATAATAAGATATTTTGAGTGTGAGAGACGTAGACACAGAGAGAACTATATTCATATAACTTCTGTTACAGTATACTGTTATAATTATTTCATTTCATTATTAGTTCTTGTTAATCTCTTACTGTGCTTCATTTATAAATTTAATTTTATCATAGGTATGTATGTGTGTGAAAAAACATAGTATACATGGGGTTTCCTACTATCTATGGTTTCAGATATCCACTGGGGGGTCTGGAAGGTATCCCCAGTAGATGGGGGGGACTGCTGTCCATCCACACAATGACACACTACTCAGAAATAAAAAAGAATGAACTATAGATACCTGCAATATGGGTGAATCCAAAACAATTATGCTGAGTGAAAGAAGCCACATAATACAAAAGAACACATTTATATCTGGCCAATTGTGGTAGCTCACGCCTAAAACCCCAGCACTCAGGGAGGCTGAGGCAGGAGGGTTGCTTGAGGCCAGGAGTTCGAGACCAGCCTGCACATAATAGTGAGACCCCCATCTCTACAAAAATTTTTTAAATTAGCTGGGTATGGTCACATGCACCTGCAGTCCCAGCTACTCGAGAGGCAGAGGCAGAGGCAGGAGGATTGCTTGAGCCCAGGAGTTTGGTGCTTCAGTGAGCTAAGATTGCACCACAGTACTCCAGCCTGGGCAACAGAGTAAGACCCTGTCTATAAAAAAATGAAAATTCCACATCTGACCTTATGTGACAGGTTGGAGTCAAAACACAGTTAAGACTGTTTCATGTACAAAATTATTAAAAATATTGTATGAAATTACCGTCAGGCTATGTGTACAAAATGCGTATAAAACATAAATGAATTTCATGTGAAGACTTGGGTTCCCATCCCCAAGATATACAATTATGTATATGCAAATATTCCAAAATCCAAAGATCTCCAAAATCTGAAACATGTTTAGACCCAGGCATTTGGGATAAAATATATTCAACCTGTAATAATAAGCCTAATATGATTAATTCTATCCATATATGTCTGTGTTTTGCTTCAGAAAAAATATGTATTCTAAGAAGAGAAAATCCATTCATGCCACCAAATAAAATAGCTTGATCAGAGGACTGGTAAACTAGTACATCACCTGAAAGAGTTATATTGGCAGTTAATGTTTCTGAAATGGAAACAAATATATCCCCATCAAGTAATGTCAAAAAAAAAAAAAAGAAAAGAAAAGAAAACTATAGTTGTAAGAATGGGATTGCTCATTTTGATGGCACATGTATTAAATGGTCTGCAAACAGATTTACCTGGTGCTGGAATGACTGTCTCTAAATGAGTCTGGTCAAGTTTCAGCTTGTCTCCAGAATCAATCATCTTGACCACAGCTGTGTATTTGTCAATTACTTCCTATCATGCAAAACGAACACTTTTATAACAAAATATGTGAACAGTTATTTAAAAGGATAAAAGTATATAAAATGAAGACGAATGAAATTCCAATCCAAACATGAGGGTGACTCCTTCTATAGATGACACTATTTTCTACATTCCACATATGATTTCTCAGTCTTTGGTTCTCAAGAAAGAACTCAATTCACAGTTTAGTTACACTTTTCATCTGGAAAGAGTAAGAGACTGGTGATCTCAGAATAAGACTGTAAGAAATCTAGAAAGAGGGGTCATTTTGCCTATTTTCAAGTTTAGTGGAAGAGCAGTCTATGCATGCATAAGGCTGAGTCCTAGAATCAAACTATATTTGGGAAAAGCAAAAGGGAGAAAAAGATTGGAATGTTGATACAAATTTTATAATCCCAGAGCAGCCAAAAGACAGGATCTCTGGGAGGTATAATTATGCTGCCCCTTCATTTAAAAAGAATATATTTTATTGATTAACAAGGCATGCACGCTGAGTTTTTTAAGAGCTGCGAATGAGATTTCATACCTATTACTTGCCCCAGTAAGCAAATAGACCAAGTCTGGTTGGAAAAGAAACATTTCTCCAACCATCATGAATTCAGCCTTCATTTTATGGAATAATCAAGAATTTTAGACAATACTTCTGCTACTAGGACTTGATTTTCAAGAAACACCAAAACAGCTTCGCTGGATTACCCACAGCTTTTTTCACAAATTCCATTCATAACTGCATGTCCTTACCTTAACAATACCTTTTTTCTTGTGATATTTGTCACCCAGTTTTTTGGTAATAATTTTTACGATGATTTCCTAGAAAATAACAACAAAAAAATAAAGAGGAAAGGAAAGACATAAACGATCTTTTCTAATTTGCTTCTTCCTTTATGTTCACCGAAAACCATAGTAAAATGTGATTTTTCTGCTAAATAAGAAATTATAGCGTTCTAAGCCTTCCCAACAATGGTAAAACATTTCCTTATTTCCTTAGTATTCTTTTAATCCTTCTTCTTCTTTTGGTTCAACATGGTTACTAAGAGGAAAAATATATATACAAAATGGCTGATTTCCACCGTGAAGGTCCCTTGAAATATGTTTATCTGTAAATCTCAACTCTACTAATTCATGTCTTTCATAGACAGCTTCTTTCTCTCCATTTAGGAAGTGAAAAGTGCCAAGGATATTACTCTGTTGGTGATCATTGCTGATACTCAGGTCGCAAGAGTCTCAGTGGAAACTGCAAGGAACTGAGCGAGCCGTTGAGCTTAGGCAGGGCACTCTTCCCAGAGTTCTCTTCCCATTAGGTTGCTTTGAATTTTTGATACAAATGTGATTCCTCCAGCTAAAAATATCGTTCTTCTGAGCATCTAATTCTCAAATGGGAGAGAAATCTGGGCTTATTTCATATTAACGGATTCTGGGTTTGCTTCGTTAGCGTTGTTTTCCTGGTTTGGATTAGCTGTCTAAATGCTAAAAATGAAAATTAAATTGGCCAACTTACTGCTATATTCACTGCAGTGATTCCACATTTGCTACTTCAAGTGAATGTATCAAAG